TTTCTCAAGAAAAAATCATTACTTGAAATTTAAAGCAATGTTACATCACAAGCCATAACCAAGTTTGTAAGAAATAATTATTTACAAATTTAGTAAATGTTTTCACAAGGCCATCTACATGTGGCTTATCTTTGGTTAGGTGTACTTCAATAAATAAATAAATTGAGAGCCATATCCCTTAATTACTGTTTCTTGCCTCTTAAACAGCCTGTTCCTATCTATCCTATTAATTCCCTTGAGTATTTTGGAAGTTATTATCATATCTCCCTTGGTTCTTCTATCGTCCAGGATTGCTTTATAAATTGACTTCCATTAGCCTCTCCTCAACGTTCATGCCCCTTAACTCACGAACAAACCGTTTCATACTTCTGCACTGCTTTTTCCAGCGTCTTAACTTGTTTCCTAAGGTGTGTATTCCATTCTGGTTCTGCGTACTCCAAGAAGGGCCTGACATATGTTGTATAATATCCCCGGAAAGATTCTTGGATGAGATGCCTGAAGGCCATACTTACATCTGCCAGACGAGGACTGTCTGCAGAGGATATTCTGTTAACAGGATCCTCTGGCTACAAGGTAGACACTATGCTCACCTCTAGGTCTTTCTCTTTGAGTGAGGTCTGCAACCTCTGTCCATCCTAGACTATACTCCGTGTCCGGTCTTCTATCTCATTCCCCGATCTTCATAATCTATTTGCTGGGGTTGAATTCAAGCAACGTATCTGACCAAGTCTTGCAGTTTGTCTAGATACATTTGCAGCCTTTTTCATGTCCTCGTCTGTTTTTTTTTTTTTCATTTTCACTCACATATGAAATATTTATTTATTTATTTATTTATTTATTTATTTATTTGAACATGATACAGAGAAGTACAAGGAATACAATTTTTAAAGTGCAGCATGCCAGAGCCCCTTATATGCAGAGCATTATGGGCAGGCTTAAAATTAACTTAAGATTAACTAAGCAATGATATATTCAGTGGTAAAAAAATTATTGTAAAACAGATAACAATTTAATACAAATGAGTATTACAAAGACAGGTCATGTGGTCATTTACTGTGTTGTTGTGTAATCAGGAGAATGGAGTATTCTGTTAGGTAATGAAGTTAAATAGTAACAAAGTTTGATTAGGTCACAGGTTGACATTTATGAGCTACAATAATGAGATACATATATGAGATACAATTTATGAGATACAATTATTCAGTATTTATTTAGTTGTGGGTGAGTAAGTGATTTTTGAGAAGAGACTTGAATTTATAAACAGACAGTGTTTCTTTTATATTCACAGGTAATGAATTCCAGGTTTTTGGGCCTTTTATGTGCATTGAGTTTTTGCATAGCGTGCGATGGACACGAGGAACATCAAAGAGTGATCTGTGCCTTGTGTTATAGTCATGTGTTCTGACTCACGAAATCGTAATGACACGGGCTGGAGTTTTGAGACTCTCTGACCGCGGGTTCAATCCCGGCCGGGGTATGGTTTATCATGTGTTCTGTTGAGGTTGGTAAGATGTTTGAGGGGAGGGTTTATGTCAGAGTTAAGTGTTCTATGTATGTAGCAGGTGCAGTAATGAGTATGGATGTTTTGTATTGTGAGTAGGTTTAGAGTTTTGAATATTGGTGGAGTGTGCTGTCTGTAGTAGGAATTTGTTATCATTCTGACTACAGCCTTTTGTTGGGTGATTAGTGGTCTGAGATGGTTTATTGTTGTTGAGCCCCATGCGCAAATTCCATAGGTGAGATAGGGGGTAAATAAATGAGCGATATAGGGCCAGGAGGGCTGACTGTGGAACATATTACCGTATCTTCGATAGTATGCCTTCGGTCTTGGAATTTTTTTTGGAAATTTGTTGTATATGTGTTTGAAATTTGAGTCTATTATCAAGGTGGATTCCTAGGAATTTTCCCTCTGTGAGTTTTGTGATAGGTGATCCATTTATCATTATGTTAAGAGAAACATCTGCAGCTCTGTTACCAAACTGAATGTAGTAGGTTTTGTCAATGTTAAGAGTAAGTTTGTTGGTCCTCATCCAGGTTGATATTTTCTGTAATTCGGTATTTACATTATTGGCTAGCATGACTGGGCTCGGGTGAAAGTAGACGTATGTAGTGTCATCTGCAAATAGTGTGGGTTTGAGTAGTTGCGATGCATTTGGTAGGTCATTTTTGTATATGAGAAAGAGAAGAGGGCCTAGGACACTTCCCTGTGGGACACCAACTGTAATTGGTTGTGCGGAAGAGTTTGCCCCATTTGTGCACACATATTGGCTTCGGTTGCTGAGGTATGACTTTAGGTAGTTGAGGGAGTGCCCTCTTATACCATAGTGTGACAATTTTACGTGGAGCAAGTCATGGTCAACTGTATCGAAAGCTTTACGTAAGTCAATGAAGATCCCCAGTAGGACTTCTTTTTTCTCTATTGGTGTATAAATATGTTCTAGCATGTGGATAATAGCATCATTAGTATTTTTATTAGGCCTGAGCCCAAATTGACAGGGGTTGAGTATGTTATGGGAGATGAGGTAGGAATAGATACGCTTATGGATTAATTTTTCAAAGATTTTAGAGAGAGGGTGTAAGTTGGATATTGGCCTATAGTTATTCAAGTCTGTGTGGTCTCCTCCTTTATGGATCGGGGTGACCCTTGCTATTTTGAGAACTGTAGGAAAGTTAGAGGATTCAATGGGTTTGTTAAAGTGTTGCAATGATTGGTGATAGTACCTGTGACACTTTTTTGTATATAATGGGTGGTTAGGTATTTAAATCTCCTGTCTTGTTTTTTAGTTTGTTGATAATAAGGGAGACTTCAGTTGGGTTAGTCGGAGCTAGGAACAGTGTGTTCGGGTAGTTGCCAGTGAGGTAGTCATTGGGTGGGGTATCTGAGCTTGGGATTTTATTGGCAAGGTTTTTTCCTATAGTGGAGAAGAAATCATTGAGTCTGCTGTTTCAGTAGGTGGGAATTGGGGTTCAACTGGTTTTGTTAATTCAATTTCGCTATTTCGTGATATCTTTTTTGTTCCTAGTATTTCTGATAGGGTTTTCCAGGTCTTTTTTATGTCACCTCGTAAGTTGGATAATCTGTTCTCATAATACAATTTTTTAGCCCTTCTTATTAGGCTGGTTAGAATTGACGAGTAACGTTTTGTTTGGTCTCTGGTTATGTGACCCATTCTGTACTGTTTTTCGTATAGGTGCTTTGTATTTATGGATTTGAGAATGCTGGGTGTTAGCCAGGGACTGTTCAGTCTCTTTGCAGTCATCTGTTTAGTTTTTTTTAGGGCAGTGCTTGTTATAGAGATATTGGGTCTTTTTTAGAAAATTATTAAAACATTCGTCAATATCTGTATAGATTTCTAGCTCAGTGTGCCAGTCAATGTTTGTCACTGCTGCTGTGAAGTTATTAATGGCTGCCTCATTGTGAAGTCGGAAAGTGACTAGTAGTGTCTAGGGGTAATTTGCCAAGGTTTGTTATGAGGAAGGTAGGGTAATGGTCTGTGGTATTATCTGTAATTATGCCTGATCTTAAGTTAGTTTAGTTAGTTTAATATGTTTTTTATGCACCCCATACCCATCCTGTGGGCGGTAGTCAAAAGATTACAGAGGTACATAATTGGTCCAGGGACTGGACTCCAAAGTTTTGACAGCTGAGCAAGTTACAGAGGCAATGAACTCACAATTTACAAAGGTAATGAACTCACAATTTACAAAGGTAATGAACTCACAATTTACAAAGGTAATGAACTCCAGGTAAGTCTGGTCACAATCATGACAAGTTACAAAGGTATTTACAGATTACAGAGGTACGTAATGGGTCCAGGGACTGGGCCCCCAAAGTTTTGATAGCTGAACTAGGTACAAAGGTAATGAGCTCACAAGTTACAAAGGTAATGATCTTAAGGGGGATATGGTGTTGGTCCAGATGTGGTCAAGTAGGGAAACACTAGTCTCTGTAACTTTTGTAGGTTTTGTTACTGTTGGTAGCAACATGCAGTTACTCATAGTGTTTGTGAATTCAGTAACGTGTGGGACCTGGTCTTGCAGGAGATTTATATTGAAGTCACCTGAGAGTAGTAAGTGATCTTTGTTCATGCGTGCATCAGTTATCATACTTCCTAGGTTTTCACTAAAGTGACTAATGTTTGACTGTGGTACTCTGTAGATGTTTATCACTGTGAGAGGTTTTTGTAGGTATTTGGATTTGAATTTAGCTATTATATATATTCCCCATGTTCATCCCTTGTGCAAGTATTAGTGATACATTCTAGTTGGTCTGAGTAGTATATAGCTGTGCCACCCCCTTGTTGGTCTGGCCTACAGTTGTGTATGGCTGTGTAACCAGGAATGGCATAGACATCTGTAGTATCAGGCTTTAGCCAGGTTTTAGTTAGTGTAATGATGGATATACTGGAATGCAGGGAATTTAGTAATGCTATGAGGTCATCGAAATGTTTGCTTAAAGATCTGATATTGTAGTTAAACCCAGTATTGTCTCTATTACTGATTGTTTGTATGGGTGTATATGTATATTTATGTATGTACGCACGCTCGTATGTACATATACATGTACGTATGGCTATCCAGGGGTACATTTTAATATAACTTTTTGGCTATTTTCTTATATACATTTTGTACTGATAGTTTTCTAACAGTACCACCGTTTAGTTATGTCTTTGTTGCAGTATGAGACAAGACTACAGGGTATAATATACTAAAGTTTGGTTTTCATGTCTGAGATATCACAAGAGACAGATGAAATATACATAACAAAATCTGATTTGTAATTCCGTAGATGTCTGGGTCCAGGCACATCAAAGGCGCATTCAACTACAATACTCTTAATAAATTTCATAACGGAGTATATTTCCTTATTTGTTGAAGAATCATAAATACGTTAGAAATTTATATGCTTCAGTTTCAATTTACTTGCTTAAATTTAAGATAATAGTTTTTTGTAGGATTAAATGTAAATTGTGTGGGTCTGGTCGAAGTATCCGCTGGAGCAAAGTGTTTGTGAACCTTTGTTGTGGACGGTGATTATCGCGTAATTTTAGGTCATCTTTCAGTTTGGGTGCTCCTTGCGGCCTTCATGACCACCAACACCTACTATGAACATTGAAACATGTTCAAAAAGAACGCTACATCGTCGGACGTGAAGAAGAGTCTAAGCAAATGTCTGGACACTAAGAGAGATACGCCCACTCGTCTCAAGCATCTGCGGACAGTCTTGGGTGAGACTTATTTCATCATTATTAATACCATCACCATCTTGTTTTACTAGTGCCACTATCCTCCCTAGAAGCACTCTGGTGCCAAAGGTCACTGTGGCACCTAGTAGGCTGGAGCCAGGGGTAGACAACCAGCCAGTGTACCATTTATCATTATGCTGTACTGGAAAGTCAACTTGATTTCAGCAATTTTGATTTTTAATCTATCTCTTATATCTGCTGAAGTCATTGTTAAGACAACTGTGTCATCTTGAATAATATGACACATGTCAAATGAAACGCATGTTCACTTTGATTCTTTCACCACAATATCTGCTATACTAATAACAGTAAAAATTGGGTAGTATAACAAAAAACTTAATTGCATAGAATGCTTTCAGACTGGCCAGCCACCAACACTTTATTATGAAGGGACATGTAGTATGTTACTTTAGAATGTGCAAGTTACTTTGGCTTTTAATATATGATATTAATACTTATGTGTACCTGTGCCTAAATAAACTTACTTATTTGATTTTTTACTAAGTGTTCTTAAACTGAGAAAAATATTTTCATGGAAATGTAACTCAGTATCTATTGATATGATAGTTTTTGTTGATAACTTATACTGTTTGTGATATTTTAAAGTTCGTTTCACATTAATAAATTTTAATTATATAAATATAAAATTTATTTACATTATAGGCTACTTGTGAGGAATGAATACACATGCTTTGAGCTTAAATTCCCTGTAACATTACTAGTAGATTGCAAACATGACATCACATATATAGACACTTCAGCTGTTCTTATAAATAGTATAGAATTTGGCATTAATTGAAGACTGCTCTTCAGCCAGTTTCAACACTTTATTTTGGTTTAAATTGTACAATGTTAAGTTGTTCACTTCTGCTGCATTTTTTAGTATATTCGCCATGATTGACCAGGCTGCAAATTTATTATTTTTCATAGTGTAGATGGGGCCCTGTGACCTGGCTGGCAAACCTCTCGCTGCAAACGCTGAGGGTCCGGGTTCGATTCCCGGCAGGGGTGTAAACATTGGATGCATTTCCTTACACCTGTTGTCCTGTTCACCTAGCAAGTAGGTACCTGGGTGTTAGACGACTGGTGTGGGTCGCATCCTGGGAGACAGGATTGAGGACCCCAATGGAAATAAGACAGACAGTCCCTCAATGATGCACTGTCTTTCTTGGGTTATCCTGGGTGGCTATCCCTCTGGGGTTAAAAATCCGAACAAAATCTTATTTTATCTGTTCACATTGTAATATTTTAAATGTCTGGTTTCTGCCAAGGAGCATTCATCAATTATAACCAAATACATATAGGATAAGGATAGCCAAGGTTAAGTCATTGTAACACATATCAGCAAAATTGACCTATAGTTTGGAGGATCTTCTCTGTCACTTTTCTTAAATATTGGCACAGTATTAGCCATCTTACATTTGTTTTTAAGTTTACCCTTTTTCAGTGAATTCTTAAAATTTTCCAGAGGAATAGCTCGATTTTCTGATTTCTTTTATAACCCGTAGTAATATCTCATCTGGTCCTTTTATTTGTATTTTTGTCAACATCAAGTAATAATTTATATACTACTGTACTTCCTTAGTTATCTCATTATTGTGGCTTCTAATTCAACTATCTATTTGATTTTAAATCTACTGTATATAAAATACATGTACTATATCTTCTTTTTTAAACACACACTGAACTATCTGTTTAATGCCTTGCACATTTCCTCCCGCACTGAGCAGTTTTGTTGTCATCATTAATTTATTGTATTTTATCTTGAACATTTTGTTTATATTTTGTAACGTTAATAAAATGTTTAGACCAGTCGGCCTGCTGCTTTACTGCATATTTGTCAGCCATACCTCAATCAGTGATGGAATTTGTTCTCCTATACCATGTGTTGCTACTTACTTTGCATAAAAAATGGGAAACATTTAAAAAACAGATTACACAGCAATAAGGTAGAATCACACTTGCAGATTAGCATAGGCGAGACAGAAAAAGTAATGCAAAATAGTGACACAAAAGAAATTCTGTATTCAGAGCAATATAAAGAGAAAGTTTCAGAATATCCCACAATAAACAAAGCGGTATATAACTCCCACAGAAAAAAAGAAAAAGAAAAAAAAGCAATGATTTAAGTGTATTTTGTAGGTACTCTGCCAGGAATTTGTTGAATGTAGAATGCAGATAGCCACACATTAGGAAGTGTTTAAATATGTTACATATAGGACAGTTTTGTTGTGATAAAGATTGCAGTTATTTTCACCTTGAGATGTGCAGATTATCACTGCAGGCCAGAAAATATTAGAATATAGGTGCCAAAAAATTTTACTTAAACTTGGAGAAGTGATCTAAAAAAAAAGAAAACAGAAAAAGGAGTGCAGAGATATGTGGAAATTCAAGACAACCAACCAGTTTTTCACACACCAGGGGCAACTAATAGCCTATAGTACTATTAGTACTGGAGAGATCAGGAATTTGTACAAATGAGAGTCTTAGAGCCAAATTACAAGATAATATAGTACCAAAACCCTAACATCTCCAATGGTAGTTGAAACGAAATTCTCCCTTATTCTTAAAAATAAAGAATAAAATGTGAGTTGGCTCCTCACCGAGGCAAATTAAGTGTTTGGAGCATTCATTGATGCACACATTCTAAAAACAGCAGTGCATTGCAGTAGGCTTATTGCCCTATACTGGTACGTACAAAAGATGTTTTGGATGGTGAGATATATATATGCAAAACACTTATATATATACAGTGGAGCCCTGGTTTTCGTCCAGTCTGAACATCGCACAGTTCGGATTTCAACCACTTTTTTTGGTGAATTTTTACCCCAGGTTTCGTACATCCACTCAGAAATTGTCCGTACCAGATGCGTCTGCCTGGGCCGTTCATACATTTGTGATGCTAATACATAATAATAACCACTCTTGGGCACATTAAATGTCTTATTTTAGGTTAATACAGTGGACCCCCGGTTAACGATATTTTTTCACTCCAGAAGTATGTTCAGGTGCCAGTACTGACCGAATTTGTTCCCATAAGGAATATTGTGAAGTAGATTAGTCCATTTCAGACCCCCAAACATACACGTACAAACGCACTTACATAAATACACTTAAATAATTGGTCGCATTCGGAGGTGATCGTTATGCGGGGGTCCACTGTATTGACATTTTCATTAATCCATCTATGATATTTTCTTCATTATTATAAAAGAAACACTTTACATAGCATATAAACATGCAATGTTTATATGCTGTGGTGTGCTAGCCAGGCAAAGGGAAAACATTACGTTTTCTCTGGTCCAGCATCAGAGAAAATGTGTACGAATCTGCGTTGGCCCAGTCACCACCCTTAATACATAATGCTTTTGTTTACAATTCTCGGCATGAATTATTCATTACTTCTCCCTTTGTTTGTGATGGCATCTAAAGGTAGTCATTAGAAACGATTAAACTCAGTGAACATGGTATGTTGATGGTAATACTTTGGCTCTGGGTCGCATTAAATATCGTATAGCTAGGATATGGAAGAGTTGGTGGAGAAATATCACCCTAACAAGGCTGTTGCAAGCTGTGTCTGCATGGTCTGGTGACTCTCAAGCTGGTCATAGTGTCAATAAAAGACAAAGAAGGGAAGTAACCCTGGATAGGGCGTTGATACATGAAGTCCTTATAGAGGGGGATTCCCCTTCCAAGCAATAACCTCTCCTCCCTCTCCCCTCCTCACTGTCTTCCATACACCAGTAAGTCTCTTCAATAAATGTAAAAGTGATTTAAATGTTCATTTATCCATTAAAATTAGTCACTCATATTTATTTCTCATTTTTCTAAATATAAAACTATAGTTATTCTCTATAAAATGTATTTTTTGTTAATACTATTTTTGGGTGTCTGAAATGGATTAATTGGATTAAAGACTTGTTGGCATATGGAATAAGGCGAGGAGGAGGGAGGGAGGACTAATTATTGTTTGGAGGGGGAATCCCCCTCAATAAGGACTTCAGGTATCAAAGTCCTTTCTGGGGTTATTTCCCTTCTTTGTCTTTTACTGGCACTAGGACCAGCTTGAGAGTCACTGTACCCCTGTCACACAAAAAATCTGTCCAGAGAGGTCCGTTTTTGGCGTCTTTAAGATTTGCCTGAAGTGGGACAAGGTTTTGTCACGACTTGCAACAGCTTTGTTAGAGTGATAATTCTCCACAAAACTTTACAACTTACTCCACTTTGCACATGTCCTTAAACACTGAAGAAATAACTTTTTTTCAGTGTTCCTGTATGAAACTAGTGATGTAGTGTGGTTAGCCTCACAAACACTCCATTTTCTAAATAACAAAAAAGGCACAATACCGTGACTGGAACGATACACAAATAACCCGCACATAAAAGAGAGAAGCTTACGACGACGTTTCGGTCCGACTTGGACCATTGACAAAGTCACACTGTGACTTTGTCAATGGTCCCATAAAAGTCCTCGATTTCTGAATCGGCTGATTTCCATGAGGACCTGTAACTGGGGTTCCACTGTATACAGTGGAACCTCTACTCACGAGTTTAATCCGTTCCATAACCTTGCTTGCATCAAGATTTGCTCGTTTGCAGAGTGAATTTTCCTCATTTAAATTAATTGAATTGCAATATATCCGTTCCAGTGGAATTCCAGGCATAACAAAATACTTCAACAAATTTTGTTGAAAATAAGAAAAAGTTTTGGAGTGAGATTTACAAGTTAAGGAAGCCTAGAGAACAAATGGATTTGTCAGTTAAAAATAGGAGAGGAGAGTTATTAAATGGAGAGTTAGAGGTATTGGGAAGATGGAGGGAATATTTTGAGGAATTGTTAAATGTTGATGAAGATAGGAAAGCTGTGATTTCATGTATAGGGCAAGGAGGAATAACATCTTGTAGGAGTAAGGAAAAGCCAGTTGTGACTATGGGGAAAGTTCGTGAGGCAGTAGGTAAAATGAAAGGGGGGTCAGGCAGCT